CTCTCTCTCTCTCTCTCTCTCTCTCTCTCTCTCTCTCTCTCTCTCTCTCTCACACACACACACACACACACACACACACACACACACACAATCATTTATGTACAATTTCTTTCCGTCTTCTGTGTAAGTACTTTCCCTCTCTTCTTTGCGTAAGAGAGCACCTTTACAACGTGCCAAATAGTCGGTGCTTGTTTGTTTGGAGTGCCTGCAAGACTATAAGGTGAGCTTCTCTGTTCGGGATGTCTGTGGGTGCATGTTCGTTGGGTGATGACAGACGTTCGTCGGAGGAACTTCCTGACTCCGAGGGTGGTGGGAACAAACTGTTTGCGGTGTTCTACGTGTGGTGTGAGTCGGTGATGGACTGGTTGTGACGACTACTTTTTCTGTGCGGATGTTCTGGCTGGCCGCCCATCCACTTCTGTTGTCTTGTCGTTTGGCTTCCTTTTGCCTTGCTGCTGCCTCGCTGCCGTTTTGCCTCACTACCTTATTCCTTTCTGCGTTTTGCCTTGCTGCTTTTTTTTTTTTTTTTGTTCACTGAAGGGCAACGGCCTTGAGGTATCATCATTGAGATGACCGGCGCAGGTAATTCAGAATTATTTTATTTTGTATTTTCTCCATCTAATTTATGCATCTGGATTCAAACTTGGGTTTGTATTTGTATTTCAATGGTTCGTGGGGTCCCCGTTAACCACTTGTGGGTTCATGGGTGTAACAACTGAGCTAGGCCCATTGGTTCTTGCTGCTCTTTGCCTGGCTCGCTTTTGCTTTGCCGCCTTTTGCCTCGCTGTCTTCTATTTTCTTGGGAGCCTTTGCCTTCCTGCCTTTGCCTCACTCCCTTTTCCTTTCTTACCTTTTGCCTCTCTGTCTCGTCGTTCCGTAGTGCTTGCCTGGCCGTGTGTCTGCCTTTTGCCCCCTGCTGCCTTATGCTGTTGGTCTTGCTGCCTTTTGCCTTCCTGCCTTTGCCTCATTCTCTTTTCCTTTCTTACCTTTTGTCTCTCTGTCTCGTCGTTTCGTAGTGCTTGCCTGGCCGTGTGTCCGCCTTTTGCCCCGTGCTGCCTTATGCTGTTGGTCTTGCTGCCGTGTCTTTCCGCTCTGCTTGCTTGGATGTTGGGCTGCCTTATGCCTCCCCGCACTTTGCCTCACTGCCTGCTGTCTCGCTGTCGTCTGTCTTGCGGCCCTTTTTTTTTGCCTTAATCCCTTGTGCTTGCCTGGTTGTTTGGCTTCCTTTTATGTCACCGCCTCACTGCCTTGTGCTGTTTGTCCGCCTACACACCTCCCCCGGTGCCCTCCAACCTTTGTGCCTTGCTGCTGCTTGTCCTCCAAGCCCTTGCCTTGCTGCTTGTGCTGCTGTTTTTCTGCTTACAAAATTCAAAATGGATACGAGTGCCATGACTGAAAGGATCAAAAATTCAAAATGGATCTCCTCGCAGATTGCTGGCGGTTCCGCCTCCTCATGTCTCGGTCCAAGTGGATCTCCTCGCAGATTGCTGGCGGTTCCGCCTCCTCATGTCTTGGTCCAAGTATGACGAAACAGTCCGTCACCGTCTGTTTTTTATTTTGTTTTTCTTTTCGTTTATGCTTCTGCACTTTCTGGCCTTTGCATGTTCACCCTCCATTGGTCATACACAGCTGCGGGCTTGTTGTTGATTTCTGCTCTCATAATGCACTTTTTTGGGCACAACGTGCTGCAACACGATCGCGGAGGCCTTATCCTCCCAAACTCACAAAACACTCACGCACACACATTGACATTGTTTATTTGTTTGGCTGTTCCCTATGTTTTCTCCGTGCTCTCTGTGTTGATGGGGAGCACCTTCAAGATGTGTCAAATAGTATGTGTCCTCTTTAGGAGTGTCTGCAACAGTATTAGGGGGACTGCTGTTTACGGGATGCCTGTGTCGCTGTGTTTCCCGGTGGTGAAAGACATTCATCTGGTGTGCTTGCTGGCTCTTGATGGTGGCGTCAACAAAAAAAATTGGCACAGTTAAATCAATAGGATGTGAGAAGGTGATATTCCCTATTGGTCCACTTCGATCCTTGGTGCATCCGTGATGTTCATGTTGTTGCCATCATGCTTGTCTTCCTGCGTGCCTTGTTGTGTTGCTGTATGCTGTGCTGCATGGCCCCCCTCTTCCCGCCGCCCCGCCCACTTGCATTGCTGTCCCTGGCATATCATGCTGCATGCCTTGCTGTGTTCCTGTGTGCTAGAACACCCGCTTGCGCCCACCCATTTGCCGTGCTATATGCTGCCCGATAGTGTGTATCGTGCTGTGTGCCCGGACAGCCCCAGCCTCCCCCCCTCTCTTTCCTGCTTGCCTACCTGCCCATTTGCTTGGCTATAGACTGTCGCGCTGCATGTCTCCTTGCTGTATTTTCCCAGTTGCAGCAGCTTACGCCTCAGCACATTGTGAGGATGGATTCTGCAGGCTTTCGAGGCTTCGGCCTCCTGACCTGACTACTCGGTGCATGTCCAGCAGAGCAGTCTGTTACTACTCCCATGTTCTTTCTGTGCCCCATCATTGTGTCTGGACTGGTCCATCTGCATACTGCATTGCTGTTGATGATGATGATGATGATGATGATGATGATGATGACGATGATGACGATGATGACGATGATGACGATGATGACGATGATCATGATGATGATGGTTAATGTTTCTGCATTTGAAATTGGAAGCATAGATGTTGTTCTTGTTATGGTTGGACATAATAGTCCCACCCAGGCTTATCCTGCCGTCCATCTCAGGATATCCTGAACACACACACACACACACACACACACTCACACACACACACACACACACACACACACACACACACACACACACACACACAGACATATAAACAATTAAATTGACCAATAAATTGAAATTATGTGAAATCATTTCTTAGTAATTATGAATTACAGTGTGAAATAAATAGACAAATCTTACCAAATAACTTGAAATAAGTCAATGAGAGGTCTTTATGTATGGTCTTCCCTCTCTTTGTAGCATAGTGTTCTGAATTTAAGTGTTTTTAGTACCTTTTAGTATTTAAAGTTTTTTTTCTTCTTTGACACTTTTTTAAACTTTTCTTACTTCCCCCCCCCCCCCCCCCCCCCCCCCCCCCCCCCCCCCCC